TGGGAGAACTTGCACAATTGGTGGCTGACTAAATACTTTTTTGCCCCACTGTATAAAAACACAAGGTGCGCATACGGCCATTAAGAGAGAGCAAGGCATGACCCTCGCTGACTCACCTAGCAATTGCTTTCTTTTTTGAAAAAAAATGCCAGATTTGCACCACTAGAAATTAACAAGCAAAAGGTGTAAATGTAATGGCTTTGGGAAAAGGCATACGGGCAAATGAGCCACTTCAGGCTACGCTATGTACCACTTGCTGCTGCGCATCGCAGGGCAACACTGCAGGTCCAAAGATCGTAAAATTACAGTAACATACTGGTTTATTCTCAATAAATAGATGACCGTAAAAAACTCAGCTGTATCTTCCCCTTCCCTTCCCTTCCCTTCCCTACAGTCCTTTATAGCACCACTTCCTCAGCCTCAGAATGGAACTCTCATCTGGGAAAAGCCGTTGTGGTTCTTACTGTTTTTCACTGTGCCACGCTACGGTTTCTTACCCATGATATATTGAATAGATTTGGCTAAGCCATAACTCATGAAATCTAACTTGTTGGGTTCTCACAGATACTGAAACAAAACAAACCATATTATGGCTAAAAGCAACATGTGAACCCATTCGATGTAGCTGGTGTCAAAAGTCTCAGTAGCCTTTTGAGGCCAGAAAGGAGAGAGAGATAGTTGCATCCATCTTTTCATTGATTCACTTATAAATGCTGATAGAACAAGTGAGTGCCAGGCTCCTTCAATCTGCCTTTGGAAACTTTAAAGCTGTTCCAAAATGTCAAGCTGCTTCAAATAATTAGCAGCATTGGCATATGATCACAGCTAGGTCCATGTACAGCTTGCCCTGAAATGTTGGCTTCCACAAAAGCAGATGGCTTTCTGATGGGCAAGTGTCTACGAACATCTAAAGAGCTTACTTGTACTTCTCGTTGATATTGGAGATCCGCCAGGCATTGTTCATATCAAAACCCATCCGTTCCACCTCGTTTTTGAACCTCGAAGTCACATGTTCTCCTAGGTACGACAGGAGACGACAGGAAGCAAACAGAAAACACGTGTTTGTTTTGTACAGTGAGATATTCCCCAATGGACTTAGTAATAGCAGAAAATTCCTTTACAGAATTTAGTGTTCATCTTTACTCATAGCCCATTATTCTAGCTGGTTTTCCAGTTCTTTGAATAATATTGCAAAGAAAAACTTATTAATCCTGCATAACAGCAAACACAATACTCTGTAAAGACAAAACATACAAATATTAACCTATCGTCTATTTCCTGCATTGACCTCTGAAATGATGCAGAACAATCCTGTATGGGATAACGTCATGTAGGAAGCACAATGCAAATACTAATCTTGCAACAAATCACGCACCAGCTGATGCTCCACAATGCCAAAACATTCTTGTCATGTGCAAAGCTATCTTCAAATAGTCATCAATTCAACTGTTCCATCCCAAAGTCTCCTTTATACAAAAATATGATCCAAATTATTTTCAAGAGGCAAGGAACTAATTTTACAGATCACCAAACTGAAAAAGTACCCAAGACAACCAGGGAAGGTGGCCTCACAATCATTCTGTTTCAACCACTGTCGTTTGTTACTTCCTGCTCTGTTGCTGTGTAAGCCAAAGCTGAAACCTACCTGGCCTGCACAAATCCCCATGTTGCTCCTTTTCACTAGCATACACCTCCATACACCAGGCATGGTAAGCAAAGGAAAAAAGATCCTCTATCTTTGAAGGGGGGCGGATAGCATTGTTCAGCCGCTTAAGCCACTCTTGACATTGCTCAAAAGTAGAGAACTGGCACCTGCAAAGAAACAAATACAGAAACCAATGAGAGGCAAGAATTGTTTAACTTTCCTTCAGAAAAATCCAAGCCACAGAATTAAATGGAAGGTTAAGGTTAAGGTCAAAGCAGACCAGAAAGAAGTATCTATTGATGTTCAACTTTCTAAGTTGGCCTGCATATTTATTTTCTGACAGGTGAATCCCACATTGATGAGTTAAAAAATGCAAGGTAGCATCATCGGCCTGGGGCCATCCGATCTGTGCTTGGTTTTTCGTGTAACATCTTATATCACCCAGCCTTCCCCTCCCCGGGCCCCCATCCAGATGTGTGGAATTCAACTCCCTGCATTCCTCAGCCAGCCCCATCATTAGTGAGAATTCATGAACTGAACTTTACAGTCTGGACAGCATCCAGGCTGTGGAAGGATGATATAACTCAAGCCATGATGCCTAAATATTTTTAATCAAAGCTAATCAACATTTTTTGTACCAAGGCATAAATCAACAGACCGAACAAAGCTATATATCTGGGAATTATAAATTTGGGGGGGACCTTTTCATACACCTTTTCCTCATAAATTGCATTTCCAATTAAAACACAGTCTTCATTCACCTTTGTCAATATTATCAGGATTATATTTAAGTGTCCAAATTGTTGGGTCACTGGATGCAGCATTGAAACTTCAATGTAGCCCCAGTGGTTGCTTCGGCCATAGAAATCACAAAATCGTGAAATCATTTGCACGAAGAAAAAATGGGTCTGAAATGAAAGGTCTGAAATAATGCAAACGTAGCATCTCCCATTGGCAGCAAAATGAATCCAAAAGGTCAATTACGCTCAGGCCAAACCTACAGCCGCGTTCATAATGACGGATAAATAAGTGATCTATTATTTCTGATATTCCAATGCCATCAACTGATAAATTCAAACTTTACTCTGCCAATATTTTGCTGGTACCATGAAGTCTGGAGTTGGGAGGAAACTTTACTATTAAAGGATAATTCATAATGATTTAAAAGGCAATTATATTTATTTTAGGGAGGGGAGGTCATACTAACATGAAATACAGATTGTGGGCACATACCTGATAACTTTGCAATCTTTGCAAGTCAAATGAAGCTGGAAAATATCCCGACATTCCACGTTTTCTATAAGCTGCAATGGAACCTGTGATTGAAGAGATTACATAAGCTTACTCCAAAAGGCTAACATCCATTTTCTCACAAGGATTTATTAGACCGTTGAAGCCTTGAAATGATACATTACTCACTTCGGCAATTCCTCTTAGTATTTCCCTCCAAGCATCTGAGGTTAAATCATGAAATAGTGAAGCAATAATATGGCATACAGCCACATTTCTCGTCTTGATCTAAAATTCATCTTGATGAAATGGTGTTGCATTCAATTCTACTGTACAGCTGCAAATGTTTTTTATACAGTAAACTTTCAGACAGGGAAGCACGACGTCTTGACCCTTTTGACTATCTTCAGGAATGCATTCGAGTTAAAACGGTCAAGGCAGACCAGTTGAGGCTGACTCTGGCAAGAACGCCGCTGCTGACAAAGAACGCAGAGGGGAAATTGCTCACAGAACTCCGAAACGTCAGCTTCAAAAGACCTGAACTGAGTTCTAGCACACTTATCTGAATTTGGTCATAAGGAACGGGGTTGTTTGATGCACACAGCAATTTAACTTTGGAACCCACCCAGTGAGCTGGGTGGCTCTATAAATTTAATAATAAATAAAAATAAACAAACTTGGATCTTGGTATTCGAGGGACGGCCTCTGCACATCTGCCTGTCCAAGGCTTAAGCTCTGCTTTGGGGACTCTCCTCTCTATCTCCCCACCTGGAGCTGCAATACGCTAGGGCAGGTTTCTCACCTGTCATTCCCTGACTACCAAACCCTCTCTTCTGGTTGGTATAGTTCAGTGTTGTCCAAACTTGGCCACTTTAAGATGAGTGGACTTCAACTCTTAGAATTCCCCAGCCAGCCATGCTGGCTGGGGAA